TCAGTGCTTGGAGTTTGTCATAATTTGTGGGGGAGTTTTTGTTTACCCACCTCTTGAGGATTGACCACAGGTTCTTAATGGGATTAAAGTCTGGGTAGTTTCCTGGTCATAGGACTAAAAATTTTGATGTTTTGTTCCCCAAGTGTGCTCCATAATGCTGAAAAAGGCATTGTTTGTCACCAAACTGATTTTTTTTTTTCTCTGAATGGTTGGGAGAAATTGCTCTTGGAGATGCTTTTGTACCATTCTTTGTTCATGGCTGTGTGTTCTTAGGTAAAATTGTGAGAGAGCCCATTCCCTTGGCTGAGAAGCAACCCCACACATGAAATGGTCTACATATACTTTTACTGTTGGCATGACACAGGACTGATGGTATGCTCACCTTCTCTTCTCCAGACAAGGTTTTTCCAGATGTCCCAAAACAACTGGAAAGGGATTCATCAAGAGAAAATGACTATTAAGTCCTCAGAAATCCAATCCCTGTACCTTTTGAAGAATATCAGTCTGTCCCCGATGGTTTCCCTGGAGAGAAGTGGCTTATTTTCTGTCCTTCTTGACACAAGGCCATTCTCCAAACGTCTTCACCTCACTGTGCGTGCAGATGCACGCACACCTACCTACTGCAATATCCTGAGCAAGCTCTGTATTGGTGGTGCCCCAATCCCACAGCTGAATCAACTTTAGGAGACAGCCCTGTTGCTTGCTGGACTTTCTTGAGTACCCTGAAGCCTTCATCACAACAATTGTACCTCCATCCTCCTTGTCTGTGAATCCCCTTTGGTGCAAAGCAATGATGACCCTGAAACGTGTTTCTTTGCAGGTAACCATTGTTAACAGCGAAAAGAACAATGATTTTAAGCACCACCCTCCTTTAAAGCTTGTATTCTATCTCAATCAGTATGACAGAGTGATCTCCACAGCCTTGTCCTTGTCACTAACACTGACACCTGTATTAACGAGAAATCAACGGACATGAATGTCAACGTGGTCCTTTTGATGGCAGGCTGAAATGCAGTGGAAATGCTAATTTTTTGGGATTACATTTATTTCATGGCAAAGAGTGTGTTTCTTTTGCAATTAATTGCAATTCATGTGACCACTCTTCAATAACATTTTGGAGTAAGAAAATTGCCATAATAAAAACTGAAGCAGCAGACTTTGTAAAAATTTCTATTTGTGTCAATCTCAAAACCTTTGGCAAGGGCCTGTATAATGTATGCACTTTAAGAAATAAAAAACCTAAATACTACTAAATTTAAATACTATTCAAAAGGGTAGGACCTTTTATACTGTGTAACAACATGGTTCAAATAATACATAAATAGTTAGATAAAGGATAGACAGTGCATACACATAGATTAACAAGGCCATACACATCATGCTTAACCTCCCTGCGGTATTTTCCGGAGTGTAGCTCGGGGTTAACGTTCAGTACCAGAGGCGGCAACCCGAGCTACTCAGGGATTCCCCTCCAGCACTTACCTTGTCCTCGCGCTCAGACCCGCGATGTCCCCCCTGCAGCGTCCCCGCCCATCTCCTCCGGCCGATGCTGGCATCTGTCTTCTGGGTGTTTCCATTCCCTGCAAGCGTCAGGATGTATGGGGAACGAAGCAGCAGGACATTCAAAAATTTTTAAAAAGTGACATTCACTCAATACACTAAAATCACACATAGTATAAACATTACTGTATCAAACCATTCACATACATTTTGTCTCTCTACTGCTTTGTCCTGTCCCCTGCCTGCATTTTACTGTTCTTTCTGCCTGGAAACTGAGAAACGTCCATAGGCATCCAAAAAGCATCTCTTTAGGTCAAAAGCAGTTTTTAGACCACTAAAGAACAGCGATAGTAAATCAGAACCACTTGCAGAATTGAGTGATAATGATTTGTGGGAAATTCGTCCATCAGACACTGAAAACGATTTTGCGACTAAGCTCAGTGATGTGCGAACTTGGCACTCTATTTCAAATTTTCAGTGTTTTTGGTTTGGATTATATTATTGAATAAAATTTATTAATATTATATAATTATTTTTTTATGATTATTTTTATTATAATTTATGATTTTGTTGTTTCAAAATTTTATCATACCCGAGGATGTTATACTAGAACTCTTGTTTGGATAGATTTTCAGTGAGTTTTTCCTCCTAAGAATTTAACAGTCCTACAAATATTTCCATGCAAAAAAATGTACCGCTTTTGAGCACAGAAATACTGACATAATCAGAAACCCGCTAGGGAGGTTAATACCTGAGTATATTTATTATGCCTAAATTACATTTTTTTTTAAAAATGTATTGTATTTACAAGTTTAATGCTCTGTCAATTATAAGGTAATGTTTTACTTGTCCTTGAACAAAAGTATGCACATTTGTGAGAAACAAAAGAAATGTGAACTCATGTAATATGCCTGCCAAATTGTGTTGGAAATTTACTGTAAAATAATCTAGTCTCCAGAGGTCTGCATTTCTTTACTTTATGTCAACTTTTCAAAATACATTTCTCTAAAATCATAGCGCTTATAAAATTCTGTTTTGAATCCTCAGAAATCACCATGACCTCTATAACAATCAAGGACAACAAAGATGTTTGCTAAAAGGAACATGTATGCTCTAGCTAGTCTTTACTGCTCTTCTTCATCTCCCTCTTGTTAACTGGGAAAAGTTTTTTGGAAGCAATACAGACCTTGTGCCTCTAGAATGCACTTCGCAACTGTAAAACCACACAGTGACTCATTTGAACGTACTCATTTTTCATTATCTGTGGCCCCAGGAAACTGTATATTTCACACAGACTGAGCTATGGTCAAGCTTACAATTTACAATTTTCAGTGGGATTGTAAAAAAATGTCATAAATTACAGAAAGATACAGAATTCATGAAAGCTAACTGTCCCTAATAGAAATATGAAGGTGGTGAATGCGAACGCTCTTTATGAAAATTCAAGATGGTGCACTGTCATGTTAATTCAAAGTCTTTAATAGTCACTAACCTGTAGAAAACATGCAGATATGAATTCATGATCTTCTGATGACTTGATATGGCTTAATGATATTGCTGTATCGTATACTTGCTCTTGTGTTAGTGACTATGAAAATATTGAAGTCAGTGGGTCAGGATAACAGCCAGCCATACTGCATTTTTAGAGGGACATCAACAATGGGGCGCTTACTTATTTCTTTTTTATTACGGTTTACTTTAACATCTACAATGAATGCAGAAGAAGGATGATGAAAATGATTACTGGGTAAAACAGAATGCAATATACTGTAGTCAATTAAAACAATGTTTAATTTGTGCTGTACATTAAAGTAGTAGTTATAAGCTGAAGGCAAAAAATGTCCCAGTACACTACATCAACTCCCCCCCCCCAAACACTTACCTTCATTCATTTTCACTGCTACTGGGTCTCCAACAACTGGTGCCATTTCCTAAGTTTATGGGCTGTACAATGAGACAGCAAGTGGGGGAGCAACTAGCTCCAGCAGCTGTTTGGAGAGCAGAAAACGGCATGTTTTCTGAGTGCTGTGTTCAAATACACAGCTCTGGATGGGATTGCGCATGGACAGTGTGTCTCTTTAGCAGTTGGCAAGTTAAAGAGACACCTAGGAGGGAGAAGCCATGGTTTGTGGACCTGTTGGGAAAAAAAACGGCATTGTTTTGAAGGAAACAGACTATATATTTGATGTAATTTTGGCTTTCCTCAACTGAAATTAAAAACAAAGTTTACTTTCACAATAACAATGTGGGTGTTACTGCTTTGTCAGCTATATGAGGATGATATATGTAAATTAGAACAAATTGTAATTGTTTTTAAAGTTTTGTAGAACAGGATTGTAAAATATTGTAAAGCATTATGTTTAGTATTATGATTCAACAAAGGTTTGTTTGTAAAACAACAGATTGTCTTCATAATTGTTTAATGAAAAATCCCTAAAATAATTACTTTTTAAAATAAAAAGACATTATTACATAACTACTGTTCCCTGTTAAAAAAGCCTAATAAAGCCCTTTGTAGTAGAATAGGGAAGAGCTAGAAAACTTGCCACGATATATAAATCCTCTTTGGGGAAATTTCCAAATAAAAAGGCACAAATCTTTCACTATACATGTACCACTTTTTGCCGGAAATGCTCAGCATGTAATAGGGTGAATAATAAGTTCAGGGGACTTACTAAATTTAAGACAAATGGGAGGTTATTTGAGAATCCTGCTTTCATAACGTGTGAGACGACTCATGGGGATTTTATTTACTAAAGCTGGAGAGTCCAAAATCAGACTCCCTTCTGCATAGAAACCAATCAGCTTCTAACCTCAGCTTGTTCAATGAAGCTTTGGCAATGAAACCTGGAAGCTGATTGGTTTCTATGCAGAAGGGAGTCTGATTTTGGACTCTCCAGCTTTAGTAAATAAACCCCATGTTGTCTATCCATCGGAGTGCCCATGTGGCCTTAGGTTGGACTAAAAGGCATCTTAGAAAAAGGATTAATGAACATTTACACAATATATCTATTGGATACAAATACCATAGTCTGTCCATGCACTTTAGGAAGTACCACAATAGTACCCTTCTTGTGTTTAAATTTTGGGAAATTGATACTATTCCCCGTTCTTGGCGAGGCTCAAATAGGGTGAAGGAATTATCCAAAAGGGAAACCAAATGGATTTACCTCACTGACGTTTTAACACCCAATGGCTAAAACAATGAGCTAGACAACAATTGCTTTATTAATGATTACTGATGTTTATTTGTTCGAATTATCTGTATTATTAAATTATTTATTAGTTTTTCTATATAATATTTGTGTATCATTTATCCAATTTTTTTATACGTTGTGATTCATTGTTGATTTAATATTTTATTCTATGATTTAATTTAATTTTCAACTTAATTTTAATGCAATTTCATTTACCGTATTTTTCGCTCCATAAGACGCACCTGACCATAAGACGCACCTAGGTTTTAGAGGCGAAAAACAAGAAAAAAAAATATTCTGAACCAATGGACTGCAGACACAGTACAGGGGATGACCAGAGACTGCGGACACAATACAGGAGATGACCAGAGACTGCGGACACAGTACAGGAGATGACCAGAGACTGCGGACACAGTACAGGAGATGACCAGAGACTGCGGACATAGTACAGGGGATGACCAAAGACTGCGGACATAGTACAGGAATGACCAGAGACTGCGGACACAGTGCAGGAGATGACCAGAGACTGCACACAGTGCAGGGAATGACCAGAGACTGCGACAGTGCAGGGAATGACCACAGACTGCAGACAGTGGGGATGACCAGAGACTGCAGACATGCAGACAGGCAGGGATGACCAGAGACTGTAGACAGTGCAGGGGATGACTAGAGACTGTAGACAGTGCAGGGAATGACCAGAGACTGCAGACAGTGCAGGGAATGACCAGAGACTGTAGACAGTGCAGGGAATGACCAGAGACTGTAGACAGTGCACGGAATGACCAGAGACTGCTGACCTTTGGGGAGGGAGGGGGAGCGGGTACCTGAATTTGACAGGTACCCGCTCCCACTTCCGCGGAGTTGTCCTTCCCTCTTCTTCCCGGGCCAGCTTCTGTGACAGACGGGTGCCCACTGCTCATGCGCGAGAAGCGCTGCGCTTTGTGAATGGCCCGGAGCCTTCTGGGACCTGTCATGTGTCCCAGAAGACACCGGATCATTCACAAAGCGCAGCACATGCGCAGTGGGCACCCGGCTGTCACAGAAGCCAGTGCGGGAAGACTGTGCAGAGCTGGAGCGAGGAACAGGTAAGGCCCTGCAGGAGAGAACAGCTAAGCGGCCGGCCCGGTATCTGACATGGTGGCGGCAGAAATACCGGACCGGCCGCTTTATATTTGCTCCATAAGACACACTGACATTTTCCCCCCCTTTTTTTGGGGGAAAAAAAGTGCGTCTTATGGACCGAAAAATACAGTAATTTATTTAAATTTAATTTTATTTTATTTTAAATAATTTTTTTTTTTTATCTGTAATGGTATGACTGCTTAGTTGGTTACAATTTGAATCTGATTTGATTTATTTGATATGTATATGGAGAGTTTTTTAATGTCCATAAGGTTTACTGTCGATTGATGTATTTACCTATTTAATCAGTCATCTAAAATTCATCCAGAAGATGGCAGTAAGGAGTTGAATTACCCAACCAATAGTCTAAGTAGCAGCCTTATATAAGGCCACCCACTCTCACGCATGTTCACACTCTCAGAGGAAGTTGGAATGATGAAACGCGTCATCACCATCAATAATATCAGCACGCACACTGGGACCACATGCTGCGATCACATGACCGCTGTTGCTGGGAATCCAAAGGAACCAGTGTGTGGTGAGATTGTCACCAGCCGTACGTGAGTGCATTTTTTTATTTTTTTTTAAAGAATCTTTATTGGGTTTTCAATTATACATAACCTGAGCAGGTGAAACACTCCAAGGCTGTACCTCAGCAACATAACATCTTTGTTAGTTGTACTGACATAATAACCAACACAGACAAAAGTAAGAAATTTGTATAGAAAGTCTAAACATAGAAATTCACCAAATACTTGATATGTCTGAAGGATTTTCAGAAAATGAAGAGAAGTCAACTATTTGCAGTAGGATCAGCAAGAAAATGTGAGCAGAGACTCTGAAAACGATGAGAAAGACTGTGAGTCAGAGATGTATAAAGATGCGTATAAGTATGCAAAGACGTACCTAGAGGTATAAAAGTGATAACAGGTTATGATGTAATGGCTATGTGCCGAAGTACTGACACTATGTTGAATGGCATGCATATGAGTTGAATAGGAAGAAAAAACGTATGTGAAAAAGAGATAAACAAAGAGGAAGGAGAAAAACGGAAAAGTTAGAGGGAGCTATAAAGAGAAAGAGGAGACATGGGAGAGAGACTAGACTGGAGAGCAGGAGCAAAGGAAAAGAGAAGGGGAAATGATGCAGGAGCAGGCTGGAGGGACCCTTCCCAGAAGTCACTGTATATGTTTAGTAGTGAGCCGAAAGGTGTATTAAGGAACTAGGGGAATGGCAAGAAAAGGTATTATGTGGCGGACGGTACTGTAGGTGTTGTAAGGCCTCACTAGGTAGGGGAGTGTAAGGAAAAAGTATAGAGGTTAGAAAAGGGATTGGAGTATAAAGAGACAATGGAGAGATTAGTTAGATTGAAATTTAGCTTGGCTGGCTAGGAGTGGTAAGAGAGCAACAACAAAATGAGCCTTGTATGCCTATAATACGTAGTCATGTGGACATGAGACAAAATGGTCCAATATAGTATATCCGGATTACTGGATCATGTTTCCGGGTTGGATCATTACTGATGAGTCATGAAGAAATAACTGTTGCTCTGGGGTCGGAAAGGACTGTTATATATAGAGTCTCCATTTTCAATTATATTTCTCCTCTCTATGCTGATGGGAGGAGGTTAGAAAATTAAGCTGGTCCATGCGAAGAAGGGCATTAAGATCTGTTTTGACATGATATATTCTGGGGGCTGTTGTAGAATGTGAGTGCGTTTTAAAAGGGGAGGTTGTTTAAGGCAATAAATATGTTTATGGTATCACACTATGTGGCTGTTTTATTTTGCCCATATATGGATTGATATCATCTAATTGAGATGATGAGAAGATCGGAGCATGAGCGATTAATAATCAATTGATCAGAGGTTGTTTTGGGTTGCTGGCTGATTATCCAATTGTCATTTACACAACCATTCAGCATTAAGACGATTGATTTTCTACTGAGTTTCCACTGCTGGTTATTCACCAGCTTCTGGTGAGTGTTGAATTCAATGGGGTGATAATCACTGCAGGATCATATTGATGGTGGATCAATGCTACTTTAAAGAGATATCACATCACTGAAATGAACTGAATTTTTTAAAATTGTTTATTTTGGTGGAAGTTTCTTTAGTATTTCCTTTTCAATTGTTTTTGATTGGATATTGTTTTGTTAGATTCTTTTCTTTATGACAATTTTTTATGACAGAGCGCTGTTTATGTGAATCTTTCTAGTCACTGTAAATTGATGTACCACTTCTGTTCACAGTTGCTTAGTTGCTTTCAGTAAGACACCTGCCATCTATGCCCAGCCACAGACATGCTAAGTATGAACTTATACAATGAGTAGTGGTGTGTGTTTTTGTTGAATTCATTTTTAAAGAGTCAGTCCACCCGAAAGTAATATTTAGTTTATTAATGAAGCCTAGTGGTTTGAGTCAACCCCTGGTTTCTTTTGTGTTATAAATATTCCAATAAATAGATCATCTTACCAATATTCTGATACTATTTGGTAAGCTGTCCCACTATTAATGCATTTTTTTGTATTGTCAGTGACCTTATTTTTTATTGATCGACAGTGTTGAGGATAATTATCTGTGTTTTGTATGTCAATGTCTTTCTCTCAATCCAGCCTAATGTGCTTCATATGCTTTAAATTCACAGGTGGCTGTGAAGAATGACCATGGTTATCTTGTCGATAGCACCAAGTAGGCATGTCAATGCAAGTGCCAGTGGTCCTGTGCGTATAGACGCACACTGCATTTTCTATAATGCATCTCAGTGGGCAAAAACACACTGTTGTTGTGGCTCCTTTGTGGCACAACAAGCATATTTTACTTTATATGACCATACAATTAATGTATGACTGTGTTCAAGAGCCCTAACACGGTGTTTGCAATGTCATTCTATACCCCCCCCCCCCACACACACACATGTATATTGCCTATATATACTCTATAACTGAAAGTAAGAGAAACATTTTTGCAAAATGTTTATCCTTTTCTCTTTGCATAGTAAAATATAATGGTAGTTATTAAATACCACCAAAACATCTGCCTCAAAAGTAACTGCATAACAGAGTGTTAGTCAGTCAAACTGGTATAGCACTGAAAAATGACCTAGAAAGAGAGGAAGTATAACATGCTGATATTGAAGTGGTTTTTATAAATATATTTTTCTGAAAAGTCCATGCCAGAGTGGTTGTTTTATTCAGTGTAAGTATATACAGCACAGAAAACACTTAGATTAAATGGCAGGGTGAAGGTAGAGAAACTACACCACTAAGAACGAAAATTACTGCATATCTCTGGAGACATGATATCCCTCATTGAACACTTCTCTACGTGCTATTTAATGCAGGTCTATAGAGAGGTTTCAGTTAAGTTTCAGGTAACTTTAATATCTTCCTTTTTAGGAATGAAATATATGTGCTAAATGCATTGGGGCCAAACATGTTTTGCTTTTTACTTTTTGGTATTAAGAACATATTGAGACGATTGGATGAGTGATACTGAATTTACTGCTTTGTAAGTAGCAAATGGGCTGGAAAGAAGGAATATTACATCCAACAAAACATTATCATTAATTTGGCTTTAAAACCAAAGCAAGACTTAAAGCATTAGTGTAGCCTTGCTATAAGTATCTCCCCCACCCTCTACCCTCCTTTCTCCGCATTCCCTAGGACCCCCACTTTTTTTGCTCAATATCCATTTTTTCTAAGGGGTAGATTTACTAAAACTGGAGAGTGCAAAATCCGGTGCAGCTGTGCATGGTAGCTAAGCAGCTTCTAACTTCAGCTTGTTCAATTAAGCTTTGACAAAAAAACCTGGAAGTTGATTGGCTTCTCTGCAGAGCTGAACCAGATTTTGCACTCTCCAGTTTTAGTAAATCAGTCTGATTGAGGGACACTGTGTGCCCTCTTCTTTCCATGTCCCTGAATATGGTTCACAGGAAGTGAGTTGAATAACATGGCCATGATTTAATAAGGAAGACTGGTGGCATCTAATAGTGGACAGTAATTACCACTGAAGGGGACTGCTCCAGATTGAAGGTGAGTATTGCAGCCAGAGCTGATTTTTTTTTTTTTTTTTTTTGACATGTCCTTCCTGGGTTATTCATTATACACTGCTCAAAAACATTAAAGGAACACTTTCATCAAGTCAATTAAACTCCTAGGGTATTGATCTGGTCAGTTAAGTAGCAGGGTTTATTAATCAGTTCCAGCTGCTTTGGTGTTAGTGAAATTAACAGCAGGTGCACTAGATGGGCAACAATGAGACAACACCCAAAACAGGAATGGTTTTACAGGTGGAGGCCACTGAAATTTTCCCTACTCATCTTTTCTGACTGTTTTTCACTAGTTTTGCAATTGGCTAGGGTCAGTGTCACTACTGGTAGCATGAGGTGATACTTGGACCCTACAGAGGTTGCACAGGCAATTCAACTCCTCCAGGATGGCACATCAATATGTGCCATTGCCAGTAGGTTTGCTGTGTCTCCTAGCACAGTCTCAAGAGCATGGAAGAGATTCCAGGAGACAGGCAGTTACTCTTTGAGTGCTGGACATGGCCGTAAAAGATCCTTAACCCATCAGCAGGACCGGTATCTGCTCTTTTGTGTAAGGAGGAACAGGATGAGCACTGCCAGAGCCATACAAAATGGCCTCCAGCAGCC